ACCATTGATAATGTTATACATATTATATGACACATGTTAGTTAAACTTAACAATGTTTTACACTTCCTTTAATAATATTGTACAATAAAATCATTGCTTTCTCTAAAGCTCGCTTAAAAACAATGAGTTTTGTTATTCTTCTTGCATACAACTTATATCCTCCTAATAACAGATTTATTTCCTTCTGTTCTCATATTCTTTTTGTTCACAGGGTCATGCTGTTGCATGATCTATTACAAATTAGTGTTTACTTGATCCTTTCCCTTCAAATAATATGGCATGTACAATATTAAATTTATGGCCACATCAAAACCTATGAGACAATATCTTGATCTGCTTTGGACATAAGCGGAGAGCTGGGGCCTGGCCCAGATATGTCATGTACATGAATGATTGGTTACACAGTTTTTCCCATTCACTGGCACTCTTCCAGATGTGTGGAGTCTAATAATTATTACATAGTTTAAACTATTCGGACAAAAAGATCAATTTTTTTTAAGCTGGTAACTCAATTTACTGTACTGGGTCAGTGAGATAAAAATCATGCTTTTGAAATTCCATTGGCCAGATCAAATTTTCAGGTTGTGTCTAATCTGATTAGCAATATGGAAAAATAAAAAGAAAAGAACAAATGATTTCCAAAATCACTTATGGCTTAAAATCATATATCATCATATTTTTATAATTATAATTCTTGCATATTTGTTAGAAATGATTTTAACTGAAGTTAGTTACAACTCAATCAAGAAGAATAAACCAAACACAAGATGGCACTTTTGATAGGTTATATGGGCGATCTGCTGTATCTTTCTTTTTTTTTGTAAAATTGTTAACAATTGTTTATTTATCAGTTCACTTGATGTCTTTCTTTTCATGTTGCTCTGTATGTATTATTGTTTACCGAATAAAAAAATAAATAAAAATAAATTACAAAAAACTTAGTAATATCATGGAAAAAAGCATACTATATGATTAATAGTGTAATACTATCTCTTAAACAAAGATGATTATTTATACTAAATCAATAATTAATTAAAAGCATTTGTTGCTGCTTTTTTATGAACAACTTTGAAGAGTCAGAATAAAAATATGAGAATGGTGAACTGGTGAGTATTTTCTGGTAGTGTGCTTACAAGATAAGAAATTCTATAAATTATATCTGATGTTAAACATCAAAAGCCCTACACCACTCACTGCCATGGCCAGTCATAAATAATGTTGCGACAAAGTGATTTATGAATAGACTGATGTTTCCAACCAATGACCTCCAAAATACATCAATCAATCAAGAGAGATAAACATATGCCTTTGATCTTTACCCACACAAATCTGGGTTTTTGAGTCAGCGAAATTTCAGCAAGCCAACCTGGGAACAGAATGCTCTGCCACCTGGGGTCTGGCAGCAATCTATCAATCAATCTGTCAAAGGCCTGGATCAGCTCATCTTTCAGTCATTCGCATGTCAATACACTAGCTTCCCTGTTGGCTAGGAGAGTTAGGGACAAAGAGCCTTCTGTGCGGATGTTAGGCTGAGCTAATTATATACCATTATTCAGTTAACAAAATGCACAGTTTAGTATAAATAATGATGTATGATGTCATTCTTTATCACAAATGAATGTGAACTATAGGGAATTATGAAACTAGGACAAGTTATTATATAACTACCAGAAAAATACTTTAAAGATGGCTGAAAAAAAGGGAATACTAAAACATCTTCATCCCAATCACCACTCAGAAGCTTTATAACTCTTTGATTAGAAAATTCCATGAAAAAATGCAATTAACAAATTATTTTAAAGTCAAAATCCAACAAAAACATGATAATATAATTTCTGTTCTCTTACTAAATCCATGCATTCACTGCATCAATTGTGGGTAGTCGACAAGTTTCTATTGGATAACGCAACACGGCAAGGAACGTACAACATATTAGTTTTATGGCGATCCACCAACAATCCAGTTATCAAAGAACCACTGCATTTATACCACTTTATTCTCTGTTTTAATGATTACCTCTTACAGATGTTCAGCAGCAGGCTGACAGGCGAACACTGTAGGTGGGCCGCACACCATTTCATTTCACTTCATTTATTTAACCAAAAAAAATTACAATGTAAAAGGATAAAACAGTCAAAAAGAACAAAAAAGGTACAATAAATGTTGATCTCTGATTCCCCACAAGGGCCGGCGGGATAACAAAAAAGTAAAATAAATTACTTTCAAAGTGGGTCTCCATCCGATGTGGGAAATCAGAGAACAGCAAAACACACACAGCATCCTACCTAGTTCTACGAAGACTGTCTCTTATACACATCTAGATGTGTATAAGAGACAGGTGTAATACTTATATACCATTATTCAGTTAACAAAATGCACAGTTTAGTATAAATAATGATGTATGATGTCATTCTTTATCACAAATGAATGTGAACTATAGGGAATTATGAAACTAGGACAAGTTATTATATAACTACCAGAAAAATACTTTAAAGATGGCTGAAAAAAAGGGAATACTAAAACATCTTCATCCCAATCACCACTCAGAAGCTTTATAACTCTTTGATTAGAAAATTCCATGAAAAAATGCAATTAACAAATTATTTTAAAGTCAAAATCCAACAAAAACATGATAATATAATTTCTGTTCTCTTACTAAATCCATGCATTCACTGTGTCAATGGTGGGTAGTCAACAAGTTTCTATTGGATAACGCAACACAGCAAGGAACGCACAACATATAGTTTTATGGCGATCCACCAACAATCCAGTCGGCCACAGACAATCATCACACGGCATCACAATATTAAGGACTCACAGAGAACAAATGAAGTTGTAGGATAACGTTCATTCCATTGAAGAGAATGGAAACTTTCTAACATAAATAAGGTTTGCCAGGCTTTATATTCTTTCAAGCATTTTGTTTCTTGATTTATCTGAATGTAGCTCCACGACCAAGGCTTTACATCTCATAAGATTACAAGTTATCAAAGAACCACTGCATTTATACCACTTTATTCTCTGTTTTAATGATTACCTCTTACAGATGTTCAGCGGCAGGCTGACAGGCGAACACTGTAGGTGGGCCGCACACCATTTCATTTCACTTCATTTATTTAACCAAAAAAATTACAATGTAAAAGGATAAAACAGTCAAAAAGAACAAAAAAGGTACAATAAATGTTGATCTCTGATTCTCCACAAGGGCCGGCGGGATAATAAAAAAGTAAAATAAATTACTTTCAAAGTGGGTCTCCATCCGATGTGGAGAACAGCAAAACACACACAGCATCCTACCTAGTTCTACGAAGATCATAGAGATGATACATACCTTGTTATTTATGCAAATGAGCACAGGTGTATTACACAGTCCTTGATACTTCTCATATGGATTATTCTATTCTATTGCTACTGTAAATATGTGATTGACGGGATAAATTCAGGTCTATAAATAAGGAAAAAAAACCCACAAAAGTGACATAAAATACTGAAGAATGATGTCAGGCTTGGCATGTTACATTACATATAAAATTTTTTTTAAAAATAAACATAATGAATACATAAATTCCATTTTCCATTATTACATACGGTATCATTTGGTTAATTTAGATAGACTGCATTCGCCAATCACATACAGTTTTGAAAAAAAATTTTTTTTAAATATAGTCCTTATTCAAGATATATGTCTATGCTTCGTAATGAAATTTCACTAAAATACTTTTCTTTTTACTTTTTATTCTTACAATTCAAATTTTATCCTTTTGTTGTGCATGTAAATACAGTTAACTGTCAGTATCACATGTAATGTTACATCTTCATTTGCATACTTAAAAATAAGTGATGGAAGATGAAAGGTTATCCAAGCAAATTCACCAAATGTTGTCAGTAAATCAGTGTGTGTTTAATAATTGTTATGGTGTTCTTTAATTCATGCACAGGGTACTAAAGTACAAAGACTGACTATATTGTGGGTCACACTGGTTTTGTATATCATATGAATTACCAGAAGGCAAGCTCAAGCCAGATCACTCACTCAATTTCACAGGCTACATTTCATCTTTTGTACTAATGCCTTCGTCTTTCGCCGGTCTTAATCTGAAGCAAGCATATCAATTTCAAAAGCATGCACGCATTAATGAGCATCGGAGATAATGATATCGTGAATGAGGCGCGAAACGTACGTGAATGTTGCACGGTTGATTGTCAGCATAAACTAGCAGTTGATTGAAGGCGTAAATCAGTGAGCGAATTTAATTATTCCACCATTTTTAATGGACACTGGGTGTACCTTGTTGTTACTGTAACATCCTACCTAGCTTCTTGCTTCTTCCAACACATGAGGGGGCTAGAACAAAATTTAGAAAATTAAAAAGTCACTTAGAATTCAGTTTATTGAGATCTACTTGATACTGTATGTTACTGACAATAGGATACATTTAATTATTTATTTTCTAGGTTTTTCATTTTAGAAATTTTGTTGTAAAAATCATTTACCAAACTTATTAAACATAGTATACCACAAATGTAAATGTTTGCAACTAGCACAAAAAAGCAAAATTTAATCAAAATTATACAATAAATGTATAGTTTAATAGCGGGTCTTTAATTTTAACTAACTAATTAATTCACTATACTTTGAAACCTTTGCCTAAAACATAAAGTGAAGTATTCAATATTTCACATTATTATTAATATTATTATTTTTTTACATTATTATTATTTATAGTAGTTAGCCAATCTCAAGAAAGATAGCGCAGTATGTTTACATTAATAAGCAAAAAAGGAATTATTTCTTATAACAAAGCTAATTACATCCACTGCTTCATTAATTAACGAATCTTTAGTTGTTGCCTAGTATTAAACTCTACATTCAAGTACTGATGTGGGCTCGCTACAATGATCATGTGACCGTGAGGGACACTGTGATTTCATGGAAGTCAATAACCAGCAGAATTCAAAATGACAGTCAGGAAAGCGCCTTGAAGCATGTGTCAGTGTCGACACTCCCGTCACATTAAGCTACGCATTCTGCCGCTTTTGTCGTTGATTAATGATGTTTTGTATGTCAAAATAGTGTTGTCAAAAATACCAACTATAGGAAATAATTGTACACATCATAACAGATAACTATTCAGGAATTATCAATCGATTTTGCCATCTGTAAGAGATGATCCGCTTTTCATATGTTCAAATACGAATGCTAGTTAGCTTGAAGGATTGGTGTCAAGTGCAAAACATTTACTGATCGTCAAAGACAATGACATCTTAATAAGGGTCTTCGATCCATCGTGAAGGGGAAATAAGACAAAAGTTTAGTTCCATGGCAGTCAGTATTTGATAGTCGTCTGACAGTTAAAAATCTAAAGAACAATAAAGGGATACATCTGTGTGTCTTCGCTTCATTAAGATTGATAACGAAAAAAACGAGTTCAATATTGATCAGTTTATAATCGCGTACTGCGAAAGTGTGCTCCAGGATGTGACCTCAAACTTAAAATTTGACATTTAATCGTCTAGATTACATATTAATATTATGTAAAACAATCAGTTTTAAACTTATATACAGTCATATATAAACAGATTTCAATATTATTAAATAATAATTACTGAATTATTCACAATTAAGTGTACAAAAAAAAAAAACATATTTTGCTCGACACTCCTCACTTATTAGTTATCATAGGTAAATTGGAAAATTAGTAAAAAAAATTAGTAGGTAAATTCATTACTTGTGGTCATTTGCAAAACTGTTTATTATCTTGTGCAGTGAACTATACATTTAATTAATTATTGTAGAAAACCAAGACAATAAAATTCACCCTAAAACATGTGTTTTGCAATGAAATGACAATCAATCCCCAAATTATTATCTCCACTCTCTATTTTCTTATCTTCCTAACAGGTGGTCAATCATTCCACACCATAACTACAGTATGTAGGGGTGAGGTGAAAACATTTTAGGACCAATCAATAAAAAAATTGTTAGTTTATCACCCTATCTTGGCCTAGGCTAGGAAAGTGATGAGGGAGGCTTGTTATTTTTATTACTAATGCTGCCTCATATGTGTAGAATAAATGTAGAAAATTTGCAAAGTACTTTACAATGATAGAATTGATTTTTTATCGTGAAAAAAAAACATGACTGTAAGAAGAGAATGCTAACTCTATTGTCGGGCCTACCCCACACTGTAAAATAGATGCAAAAATTAGGGCTAGGCCTAGTAGTAATTCTGTGAATTTCAGGAAAAAGGGGCTGAATTCTGCCCAACTTTTGCAAAAAAAATTGCATCCGGATTGTACAGTGTCCTACTACCCTAGCCTAGGTAGGCCTAACATTTGTAGTGATCCGTGCTGTCCTGATTAGACATAATTATAATTTGTTTTGGGTCTCAAAAATTCCGTAAAAGCGAGGCCAAACGGCTCGAAATCGCATGAAAACCAATCATTTTGGACGTGTTTTTTAAGCTATCTATCTTTTTTGAATCTTAAAATTCAACAATTTCTAATGCTAAAGAATAGGAAGGTATTGCGCCTTCTAATTTTAGCAACATGTTGATGAAAAACTGCGATTTCTTAGTCAATATTTGCCCGAACGACATGATTTTTGTTTTAGAGGTATAAATAATAATTTCTTTACAGAAAATTACATTGTATAAATATTATCATAAAGCTACAAATTTCTGTAATTAGTAGTTTTAAAACGTTGAACTATTATAAATTATTATCAACGGTTGGATTCCGGTCTCCCTCAGGCCACACTGAGGTCAGCGGCCCGACCATATACAGTTTAGGTGAGGTAGCAAAAAGTGGTTAAGTTCCATGACTTTATACTATTCAAGGAAATTACTATTCAATGCTTGATTATATTACTGATGTTTATGCTGCTTATATTTTATTCTATTATGAAATCATAAATTCTTTACTCTAGGCCCTACTTGTGTGAATGTGCTTTGGGTCACTTTCACTGTACAAGTGGGAAATTCGATATCCCTTGTGAAATGGTTTACGCAAAGGCCTAAACACAGTCCTATTATATCTATTAAATTCATTGTTAATCCCTAACAAACTCGCCCTAAAAACAAACTCGCACCCCACACCTAACAAATCCAAAACAAATTGTAATGCTTTGCCTAGGGTTAGGCTAGTCTAGGTAGGGCCTAGGCCTATGCTAGGCATACTCTATCTAGCCTATGGGCTAGGCCCCTAGGCCTATGCCTAGAATAGATAGGCCCTTGCCTAATCATTCAATGTCTACTACGGCTTGGTTCAAAATGAGTTTAGGTCTAGGCCTACATACAGGCTACTAGTACTACTACTATGTTTAGGCTAGGCTAGGCCTTGTATTGTACAACATAGAGTCTTAAGGCTAGGGCAGGCCTAGGGATGCCTACCCTAGCTAGGAGGTAAGGCCTGGCCCTACCAAGCCTAGCCTAGGGCCTAGCCTAGGCCAGGCTTGCGCATCTTGTCGGGAATAAGAAGTGCATATCCATGTGATCCACTCAGCCTAGGACTAGGCCAGAGACATATATTAATTTTCGCGTAAACCGATGTATTCCATTCCATTCCTTTTGTCAGATGCCAAAGTATACAGACAAATTAAATTAAAATGTCAAGACAATTTTTATTTAGTACATATTTTTTCTTACCTCCATATCTCTTCCGTCTGCAATTCGTTTTTCGCGGAATAAGTTAGGTTTGTCAAAAGAGGGCGACAAACATAAATATTCTGTTTTCAGTGTTTTTGTTTTGTTCAGGTTTCGTCAATATCAGTGTGACCACTGCTTGGGTATTTACCCAAGATCTTGGGTATTTTGACTTGGTCTTGGGTTCTTGGGTATTCCGTTCAAATCATTGGGTATTTTATTTTTACTAAGAAAATTTAATATTTTTGTCATAGAGGAAGAATTAAGAAGTAACAAAGTATATTTCAGTCCATTCAAGTAAGCAAAACTCAACGAACTGCACATAACATTGTTAATTGCTGTAAACATGGGCTCAGAATTGTTTTTTTGTGATTTGCGTTGCCATTGATCTTACCTAATTAATGCATTACATACTAAAATTTGATCACTGATCTACTGATAACACTGGCCGACTGAGGGCGTATTTTTCTATCCGTATAACCTCATGAATATTAATTTTAATAATTAACACAAACAATTACAATAAAAAAAATGGGTTATAAATTGAACTAAAAGAGAAACTATACATGCGAAAAACACGTTGTTTTTTGTTTTTTTTTTTCAAATTTTAATGCATTTTCAGGAAGCTTGAGTAATTTTGGGCAATTTTTGCTGAATCTTGGGTAATTTCGACCTAGTCTTTGTGTATATCAAAAATTGTGAGTGGTCACGCTGGTCAATATATTATTGGGCTATTACTATTTATAGTAGGCGCTTGTTAAAATTCAAATATTGCAACAAACTTTATTCTTTAGATTAAAATTATATCTATTAAATTCATTGTTAATCCCTAACAAACTCGCCCTAAAAACAAACTCGCACCCCACACCTAACAAACTCCTCCCACCCTGTAATGAACTTAGGCGGATAACAGGACGTAAAAACGTTGACTGAAATCCCATGGGATAGGTGATATAGTTTAGGCTATGTCTTTACAACGTATTCTGACTATATTTTTGCAACGTTAAAGCATAAGCTAATAACAACTCACAGCGAATGTAATCAAGTTTTGTGTTTCCTAGTAGGCCCTATTGACAGGCTATTAGACTGCCTATAAAAATGGAAAACCTCGAAAATTCAATTTTGTAAAGTTTATTTATAAACGGATCAAATGTGTCATCTTCACACAAAACAACTGATCAAAAAAATATTATCTTAGGCTGATTTCAGACATTTCGCTATATTAATTAATTCCTTCGGCAGCCAATAATGGCTGACATGGGATTTTTTCTTATTCAAATATTTAATTGTAAGTGAATAACTCATTAAATATACAAATTAAGCAATACAGAATTGAAGTTTTTTTCGCTCATGATGGCAGTAATAGTATACTAGGAAACACTCATGCCTTTATAAGCCTCGTCTATGTATGACATCCAAACAACAAAATTAAATAGGCCTATTAAATAATATGTAATTATGATGATGATGATGATGATGATGATGAGGATGATGTCATGATAATAATGATGATGATGATGATGATGAGGATGATGTCATGATAATAATGATGATGATGATGATGATGATGATGATGATGATGATGATGATGATGATGATGATGATGATGATGATGATGATGATGATGATGATGATGATGATGATAAATCTAAAATCATCGACAGGATAAAAATGGTTCAAAGTACTTAAGTGAAACTCGGTCACTGGAGCATATACAGCACGGAGTTTAGCATGGATATTTCCGCTAAGCCCCGCCTCTTCCTTGTATATACAATAGTCCACTTCGTAAGTGTGTGAAGATAGCGTAAACGTTGTACGTAAAACAACGTGACGTATTACTTAAGCGTCTGTGGGACACACGTGTGTTTGTGTTTTTAGCGATCATCAGTCCATGGTATAAGCATGGAGAAAATAAAATGGTATAAGTAAATGGAGCGAAGTTGGCCTGTTGTTTGAATCATGGAGAATATTTTTTTTTTCTCCATGTTTTAACCGATCCCATCACAGTATTAATTTAAATTACCTACCAAATGTCCCCAATTTTTTAAGAAAATAATGATAAAGATTATTGAAATATATTTGTAAAGCACGATTTTGTTACCTCCATGTAGTTCATATGGCTGGCCTTGTGACAATAAATGATATCTGAAAAATCTGAATCTGAGAAAGGCGGACAGGTAGGCCTAGTATTTACTCTCTAGGCCGACTTGTATTGTATATGTCATGTGGATTGATAGATAATTTCAGTGTCATATAAAATATAATCGTAAAGCTCTATTTTAACACACTAATATTTGTGAGGCAAGGAATTTGTGTTTTTAAGGCGTTTAGTATTTCGATGCATCGACGGTCACATATAATTACGACTGCTTTTACGTTATCAGGTGAACTGAAAATGTGTTTCTATCCAGTACAGAATTTCAAAACACAATGGCCTATATTCGTTACATCCGGGATATGTGATACTGCTATACATGACGTCACCAGCAAGCGTCCGAGCAACAGCCATGTTCTTTTGCAAATAAACTCTAAAAATCGACTAAAATGCCGCGTGGAAGGCCTCCTAAGTTGAAGATTCGTATTGACGGTTTATCAGGTAGGTATCCTGATATGTTTAGTGGGTTAATTATCAATAATTATTCACAATATTTGAGTCAGTCCTTCTTTCCGCGTTTTGCCTTCACCATGTAGTTCCGTATTTAAGGTTTGTGAGTAAATCAGCTACTCCTTATGAGCGGAATAATACATCAATTTTCACTTTACTCAAATCGTTGGCGGCGAAATTTGAGGCACTTCCTTGAATCTTATCTGATCCCTTAATATTTATGTGTATTTATCTTCAAATATGGTTTTCAGTGACATGAAATACATCCACAATATTTTGAATCATATTCGATTGCCAACGAAGGCCATGAAAATGTTTGTGGGCCTAGACTAGGCCAGTGGTACCGCTTGTTCGGATCGTTAGTCCGCTGGTACATCCATTTGAGAAGAGTAGCTACCCTACCCTAGGCTAGTATACCATCCATCCATTTAGGCCTAGGTTGTAAGGTAAGGATAGGCTCCACCTATCCATGGCTAGCCTACATGGGTGGAATCCGTGAAAGATACTTGCGTTCCTACCCATGGTCTTGGGATCTAATCCACCGAGACCAGAAATATTTTTTTTCACAAACAAACTTCTCTAAGCACATAGGTCTAGAAAAAATGGTTAAATTTATATCACTCCCGCCCACTTCAAAAATTTGGGAAATATTGATGCGGGAATAAAAAAAAAATTTTGCCGCATCATTTATTTCAAGAGCATAAAAAAAAACCCAAAAAAAACATGCAATTTTGTGACTGGAAAAACATTTTCTTTAAAAAAACAATAAAATTAAACCAGTTTCTATACGATATTTACAATATTCTTGCCAAATAAAAACAGTCCCTCCCTCATCAATAAAAAAAAGCAATATTCGATTGTTCTAATTAAAAAAGAAAAAAAAACCCGGCTGCCCTCATCACTTTTTTTTTTAAAGGGTGATAATCTAATATATTTTTTCTATGTGCCCTAAAGTTATTCAACATTCAAATTCAACTTTATTGCAATCAATTATAAAACATGATTGGATAAAACAAAACAGTGTTGACAAATTAATTAAAAACACATTCAAAAGACGTCTATAAAAGAAAACACTAAAATCATTGAGAAAACAGAAGTTATTGCAAAAATTCTCATAAAGATTAAGGAAGAAGAATTACAGAGATAGGCCTACAGTGCATTAACATTTTTTATCTAATTATATTTACAAAAATTCCAATTTGAATTACATTATGTATCAGTTATAACTATTAAAATATTTTATATATTTTTATATACAGTATAAATTTTGTTTGTATCGTAACAAAAAGACTATTATAATATATACAGTATATAATTTTATTTAATTTATGAAATTTGTATACCAGTACATAACCTACATGCACTACTGTATTCACATGTTTGTATCGTAACAAAAAGACTTAATGATGACCCACCAAAATCAGCAGTAGATTTCCCCAGGGGTGGATCTAGAGATGTCCAAAAGTGGGGCCTATCGGGATAACACTACCCTGGGGTCGGGGGGAAATGTTTGTTTTCTAGACGCCCAAAAATAACCCCTGAGGCATTTTGGGTGATCAGGCTTTTCTTTTTCTTTCTTTCTTTTTTTTTTTCTTTTTTTTTTTACATTCCAGCCCGGCCCACCCTAAATCCGCCTCTGTTCCTCCTCCCCCCCAGTTGATGCTTTTAAGACCGCCATTTCCTCCCCCACAGTAACCCTTGCCTAAACCACTCTCTTTTGCTCTTTCGGACGCAACAACATTATACACTTGAGGGTAAAACAAGATCTGGTGGATGGTTATAGCATGGAGGTATTATTGAGAAGGAGATCACTCGGCAAATCTACGCGCACGCAGCGCTATGCAAATGAACCAAGATCAAAGTTGCCGCAGCACGTAAAGAACGTTTGCGCGATGCCTTTGAAGTCCCATGTGTTTCCCGCCATCAAATTTTCAGCAGGCATAGTTGACCAAAAAATTGAACATGACGAAATGGAGAGCACCTTCTTTTCTCAATGCGCACTACATACTGTCAATCACTATGGCTGCGCAATCTTTTCTATTTTGAAGCTGATACATTTATCGCTCATAAAATATCAAACATATTAATATTTTCCACCAGAAAAGTTTCGAATTTAATGGAACATTTACATGACCTATAAAAGTATAGTATATTTCAACTTCAATTTTCATAAATTGGCCAAAATTCGCCAATTCTAATTTTAACAGATATTAATTAATAAATGATTAAGGATTATAATAAACTAAGTCATTTTAGGGTTAACGAAGGTTAACTATTCGAAAAATGAATCTAAAATCTGAGTATTTTTCAGTTTTACGCTGACTTAGCTTTATAGTCGAACCAGTCAATCTTTAGACAAAATTAAAATGAACACAGAAGTAATTTTAACATAAATATTTTACGGAATCCGTTCCTGAAATATACAAATAATAACATACCAAAAGCCAGAAAAAATCTAATCAGGGGAACATTGTTCATTATGAAGATATTTAATGGGTTAAAAGCAAACGTTTTATTGCACAACTGCTCTGGCTGGAAGCGTATAAATGCATGTCGTTGCCAAGTTGTTGCTAACGAAAAAATGTGAATTATAGGGTAATACGCCCACACGCGATCCAAAAGCGGGGAACACATAGGTTTGTCGCGTCAAAGGGATCTGTTGCCGAGTGATCTCCTTCTCAATAATACCTATAAATAATATTAATTTCATGATTGAGAATACGTATTGAATGACCTAAAGAGTGAATATACCAATCCACAAGAATAGTGTTGAATATTTCGTCGTATCAATGACACATCAGCAACTGAGACAGGAATTAGGCAGGCCAGGTCTTATATACTGTGCTAATAAGCTAACAGGTGTTGGAAAGTATTGAGAAGAGAGAGAAAAAAAAAAAATCAAGTAATAAGGAAAGTTTATAGAGGGCCTAATGCGATTGATACATTGTGCTTCCAACACACGAAGGCGCAATTCATCTTTGGGCGCTCTTCTGATTTTTATATATGTTTTTGTCCACATTCATTTTTAATTTGTGGCTTTTTATGTATCAATACACAGAAAAGTACACAATACACTACATCAATCAATAAAAAAAAAAGATACTCATAAATTGTATTTTATCTTTTAGGAATCAATGATGAAAATTCTGGTTCCAAATCTCCAGGCACTGGCCCATATAAATGTGACAAATGTGAGCAGGAATTTCCTAAATGGGCCCGATTAAAACGGCATGAACGTAAACACGATTACGAAAAACCACACAAGTGCCAGGCCTGTCCTGAGGCGTTCAACAAGGAATACAACTTGATGCTACACAAAGCACTGCATAAGTTAGATACACCACAGTGTCCCGATTACACGTGCCACAAGAAGTTCTCCAGAGTTGCTAGTTTGAAGGCTCATCTTCTTATACATGAGGAAGATGAATGCCTTGATTGCCAAGACTGTGGAGAAGAGTTTAATTTTCAGGTAAAAAAAAGGCTGTAATAAAAGTTGATCATTTTTCCCTTTTTTAAATGTCAAAGATCAAGATCACATGAAAATATCACTAATCATGATTATACTTAATATCTAATTGATTGATCATAAAATTTAGTGGAGGAAGAAGTGACTAAATCTTTTTGATTAAAAGGTCAAATGTCAATGGACATGGTGGAGGCACTCTACGGAGTGCCTGCTCTAGTCTCTGTTGTTTTATTTATCTGAATAAAGTACACACTGTTTATTGAAAATTGTTTTTCCCTCAAGAGTGAACTTGACAAGCATCTGAAAACTCATACAGATAACAATTTCGAAGATGGTGCTGCAGTGGACTGTAAAATATGCGGTGAAGTTTTTTCCCTACCATCGGCACTCAAAGAACACATGATACGATACCACTACAAGGCCAAGTTAGTTTGATCATATATTTTTTCATGATTGAATATCAATTAACAGTGCTTAATCATTAAAAAAATTGTTTTAAAGCTCTAACAAGAGCAGCTTAGTTCAGTCGGCTAATCTGGTGGTAGCCATTGTGTGTGTGCTGAACCATGGAGATCTCTAGGTCCTTGGTTCAATTCCCATGGCTGCCTCTCTTTGTGTTTCAGCTGCAGGGCTGAAATACAGTTACAATAGCGCACCGTCTTTTGGATGAGACGTTTAAGCTGTTGGCTCCGTGTGCATTTATGGCCCCTGTGCATGTTAAATACTCTTCGGAAAAGAGTAGGGGATTGTCTCCCGGTGTAATGCCCAATCACCACCAGAAGGACCCCACTGGAAATAAGTCTTCTTCTAGACTTTAGTGGGCTCTCTTCGGTGTTTACGCCGAATATATCCAATCCAATAGCACAAGATTACTATTTTTCAAGCCGGGCACTCACTGTGCCGGCGGTCATCGGCCGACACGCTTCCTTGGAGAGCGCAACCAATCCGTTACACTGCCACCGAAAATCAGCAGACGGTGTCACGTCGCCTTGTGGTGGCAAAGACCGGAGTTGGATCCGTTGTACGACCGGCGTATGACGGAGTGAGTGCTTGGCTTTAAGTTTATGTAAAAATAATGATTATATAAAAAATTAAAATCCAATTCGGCTTTGTTCAAACGAAGAGTAATCTTTTCATATTTTCCTAAATGATTATATAATAAGTGATTTTGATATTTTTTGAAATAAAAACTGAATTAATTATTAGATAATAATAAAATTATAATAATTGTAATATTATTTCAAGAAGTTGTTAAATTATTATTTTGAGTTGCCTCAATTCACAGCTTAACATTTTGATGTGCTTAGTCATCTCTTGAGCCTTAACTGTGTCCCATTTAGGTCCAACCTGTTGAATGCAAAGTGTTATCGTAAGCACATCGATCGCTCAGCCTTTCAACATGAATGTGATCACTGTGGAAAATGTTTCCAGAAACCAAGCCAACTCCTACGACATCGAAGAATACACACAGGTCGGTCTAATTTCCAAAAGTAAATCATTTATTTTAAGTCGTGTAACACGATTATCTCTATGCTTTAATAAAAGAAAATGAAACACGAAATAGGCCAACCCGAAACGGCGAGTGAGGTTACATTGAGGCCATTATACATTAACAATGATAATAATTGGATTTGTATAGTGCATCATGCAAACAAACCTCTATGCGCTTGGTGATTGAGCTCTTTGAGATATTTTGATATTGGGAATAAAAAAGAAAAGATGTAGTCCTATAAAATTAAACCTATTTTTGGTTGGCCATTGGCTCCATGAAATACATCTGCCCTTCAACTTCATATAATCTTTGACCTTTGTCTATGTTATTGTTTTTGTGTTTGATAATTATTGTATTTCACTGTTTGTTGGTCACAAATTTAATAACTAAATTAACGAAATCAATTCAAAATTTTATGATTTATTCTAACTCGCTCTTGCCATTATTAATTAGGTGAGCGGCCTTACTCTTGTGACCAATGTGACAAGGCATTTAATCAGAAAGGAGCACTCCTCATCCACATGACAAAGCACACAGGGGAACGACCTCATCGCTGTGACCTTTGCCCGCAGACATTCTCACAGAAGGGAAATCTTCGAGCCCATATAGCCAGAGTGCATGAAATCAACCGAGGAATGCACAACACATACCAATGTGAAGAATGCACATGTGTCTTCCGGAAGCTGGGAAGCTTAAATGCACATGTGAGTAGAATGCACGGTGAAGAAGGCTTGGTCTTGACTAGTCCTCATATTGATATTATTGAGGAAGTTGAACCAGTTAATATGATGCTACAGAATCGATTAGGATTGAGTGACCAGGCAGTTGACGATGTTGTTCAACAGTTGATGGGCCTCTCCCAGCAAGTAACTGATGCCACAGATGCAACAAACCAAATTCAACAAATAGCCATGAGTAGTAACATCAGCTCAGACATCTTACAAGAGGCATTAGAAAACAGTGGTCTGACTGCAGCTGCAGAAGCTGAAAGTCAAAGCCAACAGAGTCAAGATGGAAATGATGGATCAATGATTGTACCTTTGCAAGGTAGTCATGATGTTATACAATGTGTCCAACAAGTAGCTCACTCTGTTGGAATACTTCTGAAAAAGCAGCAGATTAAAAGGCGTGGAGTTTCTCGATTTCATCATTGCGATTTTTGTCAAAAATCTTTTAAGAAGCCAAGTGATCTTCAGAGGCATATCAGGATACATACTCGAGAAAAGCCTTACAAATGTGCTGAATGTCAAAGGGCATTTACTGTGAAGAGTACTCTAACTGCCCATATGCGTACTCATACAGGTGTCAAAGAATACAAGTGTCATGTTTGTAATAAATGCTTTACAACACACGGCAGTATGAAAGTTCACTTACGCCTACATACTGGAGCAAAACCCTTTAGTTGTCCACATTGTGATAAAAAGTTTAGGACTTCAGGTCATAGGAAAACACACATTGCTTCCCACTACAAGGAGGCCACAATAAGAAGACCAAGAAGAACGTCAAGACCTAAGCCTTCAGTGGACCTTCCTGAAGTCACGCTTCAAGAACCTATCCTGATTACCGATAATGGGCTAATTCAACAGCCATCACGTAGTTCAATCAACCAATTTTTATCTGGCGATCTTCAGCAGATTGGAAGTGTTGATAGACCTTACAAATGTGGCCACTGTGCACGTGCCTTCAAGAAATCTAGTCATCTTAAACAGCATACACGTTCTCACACTGGTGAGAAACCTTACAAATGCACTGAGTGTGGAAAGTGTTTTGTGTCAACAGGTGTACTCAAAGCCCACATGCGGACTCATACAGGTGTTAAGAATCATCAATGCGGTATGTGCAATGGTCTGTTTACTACTAGTGGAAGCCTCAAAAGGCATATGTCAACACATAGTGAACTACGCCCATTCATGTGCCCTTACTGTCAAAAAACCTTCAAGACCTCTGTGAATTGTAAAAAGCATATGAAGACACATAAAAGAGAACTTGCTATGCAGCAGCTGGAGCAGCAACAACATGGACAAGACCAAGTTGTCAGTCAGCAACAGCAGCAGCAACAGGACGCTAGCCTTGCTGAGCTTGAAGAGCAGACTACAGCCATCTTGGAACAACTTGGTCAAGCACAGGCTCTTGGTCCTGCTACTAACCTATCTGACCAAACTGTAGCACATAATACGGTTGTCCAAGAAACATTGACAGAGCCGACTGGTATGCTCCAAGAAGGATTATCCCAGGAGACCCTGACTCAAGCAGCACTAGGGACTCGGAACCTAACACAAGTGACTCTTACACAACAGACATTGAATGCCCTTGCAAATCAGCAAGTATTGGCAGCCAACCAGCAAGCCCTCTCTCAGGAGCAGCAGATCAGCTTGCAAACCCAACAGATTCAACAACAGTTAGAAGCCATTACTGGCCAACGATCATCAATTTTACAGCAGCAGACTGCAAACAGCTCTGCCATGCAAGCCATTATGCTAAACAGTATGCTTCAACCACAAGTGCAAAATGACACTGATGATGGGAAAAGAACTTATGTTTGTTCCTATTGTTCAAAAGCCTTTAAGAAGTCTAGCCACTTGAAGCAGCACGTACGATCTCACACTGGTGAGAAGCCGTATCCTTGCGAGCAATGTGGAAGAGCTTTTGTCACTGCAGGTGTCCTGAAGTCCCATTTGCGAACTCATAGTGGTGTAAAGAGTTTCCGCTGCAATATCTGTCAAGCAGCCTTCTCAACCAATGGATCTTTACATAGACATATGACAGTACATAGTTCTGAGAGACCTTTCAAATGTGATCAGTGCAATCAGACATTCCGGACAAAACTTCTACTGAAACGCCATGAAGCATCACATTTGAAAGAACAAACTAAGATTACAAAGAAAGCCAAAGATGTATTGCAGTTAACTAGTGAGGAAGCCATGCATCTTGTTAATTCGTCACCAACCAAAGGACTCTCTGTATCGGAAACCATTCTTATTCAGTCTGCTGCAGAAAAAGACCGCATTAGTGAAATTAAGGATAAGTTGGAAGAGTTAAAAAAGGGTCCAAAACATAAGAATCAATGCACTAAATGTCCAAAAAGCTTCAAGAAGCCAAGTGATCTTGTGCGTCACCAACGAATACATACTGGTGAAAAACCATTCCAATGTGAAAGGTGTGACAAAGCCTTTGCTGTTAAATCAACTTTAGATTGTCACATGAGAGTTCACAATGGTTCTAAACAGTTTACTTGTCACATGTGTGAATCACAGTTTGCTACAAAGGGTAGCTTAAAAGTTCACATGAGATTGCATACAGGAGCAAGGCCTTTTAAATGTCCTCATTGTGATGAGTGTTTCCGTACTTCTGGATCTAGAAAGATGCATATCCAGCAGCATCTGAAACCTGAGACTGCAACAAAAAAACAGCGTAAACAGGCACAAGCTAAGCAGGTGGTACAAGCCATGCAAATTGAAAATGAAGCAAATATTCAATCAGCTTCAGTTGCCATGACATCAGAACCGAACACATCTGTTTGCCAAGTACAGACAACTTCTGGTACTGTGGATCAAAGCAACTTACAGGCAGCATTTCCTCAAGGTGTTGTTCCTATTGCCTTAACAGGTGGTGAGTATGCACAGCTCAGTGATGGTTCAATAGCAACGGTATTGACACAGGGCTTAGAGGGCATGCAGTTGCAGCTGAGCACTGCTAACCTTGGGCAAATTTCTGGCCTAGACTCTAACATTACTGTCCAGATTGATCCAAGTATTCTGCAACAACTTCAGCAGGCTGTTTTGAATCCTGTTACTCTTCAAACTGAATTAGGAACAATCCAGGCAAGCTCTGAGACCTCTTTACCACATGGAGCAGTCATCCAGAATATAGAAATGCAACCTAATTTCTTAGTTCAGCTTGATGGAAATGCTCTTTCACAAAATATACTTCAGGTACAACACTCATCAGATTCCGGTACAGTGCAAGTTGTTGATAACGGTGCCAACCATGCTGATGCTATTCGCATTGTGCAAACTGATTCAGGTTATGCTGCTGTACCAGCTATGCTACAGCAAACACAGGTGACAGAGCCTGTATCTAATACTCAAAATATATCTGAAGTTGGCAGTCACAGAGTTAACAGACCAGAAAAAGTACAAGGTAATTCACAGTCTGTAACAGATCCACAGATCCAGGGCCATATGGTGCAAGAGGCGACACCTCAGATATTTTTGCAGTCCCAAGACAGAGTCCAAGATGATGCCACTCAGTCTTTACTCCCCCAGACATCCTATGAAAACATCCAGATAACACAAGCCTCAGAAGCACCAGCATTACCACTTGCAGCAAGTACCATACAATCACAGGCTGAAGCTGGCAATAGCATACAGCTTTCTCTGGAAAGTGGGGAAACACTGACACTCCCTCAGAATATTCTCTTTCAGCAGGAGCTACTACCACAGGCTGCTTCAGTGCAGGATAGCAGAAGTCGTACCCCACAGACTGCATTTTCCGATACCTCTATGGATGTAACTGGATTAGGTGAAGGAATGGTTGAAGCATCAGAACAAAGTGCTGATCTACTTGGAGAGAACCTCACTCATGGTAATCAACGTCTAGACAAGGATGAAGTGAATGCTGCATCTAGTAGCGCCCTTTCAGCTGCAGCATCTATTGGTGCCATCTACCCTTGCACAGAACCTGAGTGCAAAGTAGTGAGTAATTTTTTACTTCATTTAGGAAGTGCTTTATAAAATGCTAAGAAACCTATGAGGCGCCAAGTGTAAATTTATTATTTAACACAATTATTTATATATAATTCATTATTTAACATCTAATAGATCATCCATTATTTATATATAATGCATTTATATCTAAAAGATTATGTAAATAATTGTGTTAACATTTTCATTATTTATATGTAATTAGTTTACTGATTTCATTTTATATATATATATATATATATATATATATGTATATATGTATGTATGTATGTATGTATGTATGTATGTATGTATGTATGTATGTATGTATGTATGTGTGTATGTGTGTATGTGTGTATGTATGTGTGTGTGTGTGTGGGTGTGTGGGTGTGGGTGTGTGTGGGGGTGTGTGTGTGTGTGTGTGTGTATGTATCTATGTATGTATGTATGTATGTATGTATGTATTTGTTCATTTGTTGTCCATATTGCCACTGTTCTCTGCATGTTAATTTTACCAATCATTGTATTATGCCTGACTACAAAACATCAGGACTGTGGATTTCCAGAGTTCAAATCCTGTTAGTTGTAACTCCTCATAATATAATATAGCATAAGAATTCCATCGTGTTAATAATGGCCAAGTTGTTTCTTCCAAGAATAAACTGCTTTTCCAAAGGTTATCATCAAGAATATCACGCATCAAATTATGATCATCTCATTGTTGGTGCATATTTACTTTTTCATTATAGGTTTTTACTCAGATGAACCAATTGAGGCGCCACCAACGAGAAGCACATGAAGAGGTAAGACCCCATGTGTGCCAAATTTGTACCAAGGCATTCAAACGCATGGGTCACCTGAAGGAGCACCTTGCCACACATCAGCCAGGCCCGTCACCTAGCAGAAATAAACCCACACCCCATGTGTGCTCAGAGTGTAACAAAGCATTTGCTAAGCCTAGCCAGTTGGAGAGGCATAGACGGATACATACAGGTGAGGTTTACTGTACATTAATTGGCACGCTGGTTGCTTTTCAGACCTTGAGTGTGAAAGTGTGAATTTGTGGGAAAGTTGAGCAGATTTGCGTGTGCAGGAGTGGCCGACCCAGCCTGTGAGTTCAGAGCTCCAAGAAAATATGTTATAGCTGAGACGTAGTCTGAGAAGAGATGGACTTTAGAAGCCAAAACTTCAGTTTTGTAATATTATAAATTGAATGAAGAGAGCCCCTTGACTGTAACTATGGGCAATCGTATTCTCCCTCTATTATTAAATACATTTGAACTTGCCTAAGTCGCCTGCCTAATTTGAATAATTTCTAAGTCGATCTTATTTTACATGCCAAATTGTTGTTTTCTCCATTAAGTAACGATCTGCAAGTCAAATTTATACAAGTCAAACAATTTTTCAATGCCATTTTGATTCAACTTGGCAAGTTCAACTATATATTTTATACAGTCATATACAGTATTTAATGATATGCATGATGTTCTATTGGATTATTCCATGATTGACAGCAACCGCATTATTAGCTGTACTTTTTTTTGACTTGACTAGTAATTTTTATAATTTATTTCTTCTATTTAGGTGAACGACCGTTCAAATGCCCACAGTGCGATAAAGCATTCAACCAGAAAAATGCTCTTTCAATCCATATGAATACTCATACAGGTGAACGGCCCCACAAGTGCCCTTGTTGTGAGCATTTGTTTTCTCAAAGAGGTAAGTTCAGCAATTAGGTTTTTTTTTTCCGGTTCTCAAGCCTGCACTCACTGCATTGCACAACAGTCCCTGTGAGCATTAGACAACGTGAAACCGACTGCTGATTGTCGGTGGCAGTTAAACACATCATCAATAAAAACAATCTGTTGGGTGGGCGTAGTGTTTTTGCCCTCTGCATTGAATCGCAACAGCTGATGACCATTGTGCACAGCGAGCATATTTTCCTTCTCTTCATTTATTTACTTTTCAACACACTTACCACAAATTTTAAGCCAATAAAATTTTGCCTTTCTATTTTATAGGAAATCTAAAGACGCATATTATTCGCAATCACCAAGATAAGCTAATACCTGGCACAAACCTAATGGAAGTTGGGGTTGGAATAGCTTTAGACCTCAATGAGGTCATTGGTGACGAGTCATTTAATGACCCAACAGTGAAATCAGGGGATGAGGTTGATAATGTAACAGAAGGTCTCGATCTGGATGGAACTATGAACTTCTTTGCTGATTGAGTAAACAGTTTAAGAAAAGGATGAGACTCATGGATTTCCTTACAGAATGAGAGGTGGTTTGGATGACTCTAGACCAATAGACTACCAATGAAATGCAGTGGAGCCCAGCAGTGCATCTGGTTACCATGTGGTACATATGGCAATCCCAGGGTGCCTTCATCCACCTCAGGTTTACTGTATCAGATACTAAGATTTGAGCTTCTTTGTGGAGACAGGCATTCTGGTATTAACTTGCCATGACATACTACATACTTCCGTACATAATTACTTTTCTTCCTTCACTTCCGTCACTGATAATGCTAATGGTATTATTATAAATGGGATGAAATTGACTGAAACAGAAGACTCATTTTTGTGGTAGGGGTTCTCAAATTTGAATCAATATGGGCTCTAATAGGTTGTTTGTAAAATCTTTTTAATTACAGTATTAGACACAATGTATTTATTCAAGAAATCAAATCAATATGTAACATTAAAGACATTCTAGTCAACAGTGCAGTATAACTAATGATTTTGATTTTATCTGTTAAATTTTTGCATTCCATTGTGATGCATTTTCAATGAATGTTGTTGATTCAGATGTTACTATTACAAAATCAACTTTATTGTACAAGTATTGTATTGCAAATTATTTCAGCTATTACCACTATTGAATTTTGGTTTGAACTAATATTCTGTTTTGTATTTACTCAGTATTTACCTGGAGTCAGTGATACCACTATATATTCTAATTAAATAAATAAAAATAATAATAATAAATAATTGACTTCACTCATGACCAATTCTCTGTGGTATATCTAGGATTATTGACATAAGAGCATTTTTTAGGGGAAGGAGGTTGACATAAGAGCATTTGGGGGGGGGGTGTGACCTGTCTCTTATACACATCTAGATGTGTATAAGAAAAATAATTTTGTGATCATAAGAACTAAATGAAATTATTTTGTTGAATCAAGAAATTGTTGAAGTTCAAAAAGTTAATAACCTTCATGGGTTATTTATACAGTATTTGTACAGATGGACATTGGGGAAATTTTTGTTTGTAACTACTGTATTGAGTTGTAAACTATAAAATATTTATTGTTCATAATTTGCCATTTAAAAAGCATGTATTTTATTGTCTGAAAGTGATATTTTGTAAAGTTCAATTTAATTTATGAAATAAAGGCCAAAATATGGTTTAGAATCAAAATGATGCCAATGTGTATTTTGTTTACATGTACAAAGTTTCTTTTACATTTGTTTAAAACAGAAATTCAGAATTGTATAAAATTTCAAAAACAAATCCACTTCCAATGCATTTTTATTTTTTTTAAATTATTTTTCATCCAGAAAATATATTCAAAAATTAAGAAAAGAAAATACATTTGATGTGTGAGAGAGAAAACTTGGAAGCAAAATCACTTGACTTCCACATCAGTACGGTGAAAAGAACTGATTCATACCCTGCATTCTCCAAGAATTTTAGTTCATAAATCTTTGGAAAATAATTAAAATAATGTGTGTTCTGTGGTTTGTAATAATTTTTTGACTGCCTTTTCTATGCATAATGTACATACACAACTCATCATCTTCGCTTTTCAAAATGCAGTCATGTTACACACTTAATAATTACAAGCACAATTATCAAATTTATCCAATCCTCATTTTCTAATATAATTAGAAATATAACGCGTATACATAAAATGATTTAGAGTTATCAAAGAGGGAAATCTTGAGTGACAATTCTGCTACTTCACAAAAAAGTATCAAAATACTGTACAGGTATTGTAATTCTCCTCTGTACAACAAAATCAGGTAATCTAATTCCATCGTTTCATTTACAAACAATATCTACAAATTTCAAATGTACAAAGAAGACATAAAAGATAGTATTTTAACCAAATTATGAAACTCCAAAAACATTACCAGTATAATATTTCATGTTCAAAACATAATTTGAATGATAAAAAATTAAAAACCAATCATTTTTAAATGTTTTTCTACAGAGATGACCCCTGTCAGAGAGCCCTGGTCCCCTGCAGGGGGACCCTGGATTAAAAAAGCATTTTGAGTCGGAGATTACCATTTCTGGGCTTATTTCTTCCAAACACTGTGGTGAATTTGGTCTCATCAAGGACCAAACTTCTGCACAAGCTCCACCTGGCCAAGTTGTTCTGCAGCTGTGCTTGTGCTGCACCTGTCTATGCTGTACAGAATATGTGATGCTACACCTGGGGATATGGCAGTTAACATGGACGTGTGATGATATGCAAATATATTTGACAACTACAGGCATTCTAACCTAGCTCTATAAATTAGGCACAGTTCTACAAATCAACTTTAATATTGGTTCAAAGAAAGAGTTGATTAACATTGTAAATGATCATAACATAATTATTTACCTTGTAAACCTACAGAATATGAAGTAACATTTAAATTCATTACTAATTATTTCGGTGCTGTATATCTAATTGAAGACTGTCAAAACAAAGCAGGAATGTAGTAAATGGTTTTAATAAAAGAAACTAAGATAATTATTTTGATTAATTTATTTATAAAACACAAATTAGACTTTCTACAAAACAACCAAATGCAAGATAACAAAAAATAAATTGTGTTAATTGTGCATTGAAAAAATAGGACAGGCCAATAGCACAGGACCAGTATAGTATTTATACATTATATGGCAAGGGTGTAAATTCCTATCTCTTGACCACTTTCAATATTCTTGTTAAAAAATGTTTTGGTGGGCGAGTACAAATAGACATAATAGTACAGTACTCGAATAATTTCCGAGTCACCTTATTTTACATGCCAAATTGTTGTGTATTCCATTAATGATCTGTGTAAGCCTCATTTTATCTAGTCAAATAATTTTTTAATGCCATTTTGGAATCAACTAATAGGCAAGTTTAACAGTACTCATTTATTTTTTTTCTTGTAGGATGTATAATTTAAAACAAAATGATATATCATCTCTCTTTAGATATATAATTTAAACTATCAATTTTTCCAAATTTCTTCTTCATTTTTCTTTCCTTTAATCAAACATGTATTTCATATTTACAAGAATACAAATTAAATAAAACACTACATAATACACAAATCAGTAGTGATGTTGGTAGTCTAGGTACTTACCTGGATAAACCAACTAACTGCCTATTCTTTGTCACACATGAGAACACCCCTTGAAAACAAATTCGAACAGTCGGCCCTGGCGCCAAGCAAACGATCCCGCAACCATGCTTCATCCTCATTCTTGTTTGAAAGATCGTTCTTTGAACATATCGCCTCAATATTTACAAGTGTTATAACGTTGGAATTATTATTCTTGGATTTTTATCTCTGGATTTTAAAAGATTTTGTTCCATTTTGTTTTCGAGGGGTGTTCTCATGTGTGAGAAAGAATAAGCAATTAGTCGGTTTATCCAGGTAAGTATTCACGAAATATACTTCATTATTCACATTCCATTTTGGAAAGGATACATTTTGTTGAGCATATATAATATATAATAAAATGTATGAGAAAGCACCAAATAAAAGCTAATGTAATTTATATCTAGGGATTTTTAAACATTTTTGTAACTATTATAATTATCATTACAATTACAGATACTCAGTGTTATTGGTAAAAGAATTGAAATCATTTATTCAGTGGATGAAATTAAGTTTTTACTCTATACTGTTAACTGTTGGTAAATTTTTTTTCATAATAGTAAAAAAACATCTTGAATATATTAGTTATATATAAAGATCAATAATATATAAATATGAAACAAATCATTAAAGTGATCAAAACTTAAATTTGCCTCTTTTTGATCCGAACTTAAAATATACAAGCATACATTTCTTAAATTTAACATTGATAATTACAGGAACTGATTAACTGACACACATATCAGCTAATTACAATAACTAAATTAAATGATAAATGTTTTTAATTTGCGCTTACTAATTACTAATTACAAATTATTTTCTCCTATGTTACATACAAAAAAAACAAAAAGAAATCTTAATAATAATTCAAGTTATTAATCCTGTAAAAATATTTTCAAATCTGTATGTTATGTAGTACTTTCACGTGTTTTGGTAGCCCAGTAACTAGACTGAAGCATGCCTTGGTAAGCAAGTACCCAGCCCTGTCTCTTATACACATCTAGATGTATAAATTATATGATTGGATGATGTAATATTGTAGTTACTGAATGTGCTTAACTTGGCCAATTAAACATTTAGTTAGTGCTAAATGCATATGTTTCTCAGGTGCCACCAGCTACACTATGTACACCTTGTGTTATATTATTGCACCTCCTTGAATATGAGATATTTATAGCAAATTCCTCTTATCAACACTTCTATAATTCTTTCAATATTTTCATTTCACTGGTAGTATTCTAACAATAAAATAAATTGTAGATCTAGATTTTAAAAAAATGAATAATTCCACCTGGAAGCATGTCATGAATCCAAAAGGCATACCAAGGAGACTCTATTCTCCATCTTGCATACGCCTGAGTGCTGCCTCAAAAGCTAACAACCTTCTTTGCCTGACATCCGATTGGTTAGGATTAACAGTGAAATCAAGCGATGAACCTGATTGCTGGTCATCACTTCTATCTACGGCAGCTCTCCGTCTTAAACCACCTTCATCACTTTTTGTTTCCATGGGGAATGTTGATGATGATGATGATGATGATGATGCTTGAGATGAAGATTCGCCTGTGTGTTTCTTCATATAACGTCTAAAAAATTAAAAAATAAAATTTATGTACTAGTAGTGGAGTTGTTGCAGTTCAGGCTTTCAACATTGAGGATAGGGTATAGCATCTCCAATGCGTATATTGCTTGTGTCCTTGGACAAACATGTTATTACCGTGTCTCTCTTGGCCCAGCAATGTAAGTGGGTACCTGGTAATATTTAAGATCAAAGAAAGTACTGGGCTGAGAACAACCACTGCTAACTAGGGTGGTTTGGAGCAGTTTTTAAAGTATTAAAATGTTTACTGGATTCCAGTTGCATTTATATTACTGCCTTTATATTGTATACAATGCAGCCCCCAATTCGAGACCCCTCTAATTCGAGACTCAAATAACAATCTTCAACCTTTGAACACAAAGCTAGCCCTCTAATTGGAGACCAACCCTGAGACCATCCCAAATTTCTTAAAGGTGGTCTCAAATTGGAGGGCAGAATGTATTATATTTTATTTAGTATTTTGAATTTTAATATTATTAATATAATAGGTCGATTTAGAGGGCGCAAATAAACAAGGTCTCTAAGCGCAATCTCTAAGTACACAAAATGTAAGGAACGTAAAGAAAAAGCAGAAAAAATGATGTAAGAGATTTAAAGAACAGAACATATATAATTCTTACTGTCTGGCATTCTGCAACAGCTGTTTTTTCCTTTGGTTTAGAATATCTTCTCTTTCTGATGCACTTTTTGAAAATCTACTAGGCATTGATTCAATACTTGACAATTTTGAGTCTTCCTCACTGTGAAGATAAAGAATGAACAGCTAATCTAAAAGTCTTTAGGCATACTTGCAAAAGCTTTAAATTAATATTGGTCTAAAAAGCAAGGTTTTACAATGGAACTACCTGTAACCTAATATTCATTTGAATATAGAGCTTTATACATTACATTTTCAAAAAGATGGTATGATTTATACCTGGGACTAATAATCCTCACCTTTGTTGAGTTTGGGCTTGCACTGTACTAGCATCTCCCGCTTCCGTTGCCATCTGCTGTTCAGAATCTAATCGCTCTTCCTGATGGCTTTCCACTGAATAACTTGGGCTCAGATTAGCATGTGGGTTTGTATTCGCATTGAACTGTACTGGTCTGCGTTGAAATTCAGCCAGATTCGCATTTTCTTCCGGTGCGGCAGCTGGATCAGCAGCCATAGGTACTTGTGGAATCAAGATACGCTGCTCAAGGATGTTGTCGATAGTAATCTCCATTGAGCGTGTACGTTGCAAGTCTTCTAAGATGGTTGGAAGAGGAATGTGTGGAAACATTTGTTGGATGTTATTGGCCTGGAAATAAATATATCATAGAGATGTTTTAAGTTCTGAAATATATAAAAGCAGATAATATTGCCAAGTTTTACCAATCTGTTTTAATCTTAAGCCAGGCCCTCACTGCACCAAATCGTCAGCTGACGTGAATCCATGGAGACAGCAACGCAACAGGGCTTATGCGACAGATTGTTTCTGATTACAATCTGCTAACGCTGATAACAGCAGACGGTGTTGCATTAGGTGTTGCATTATAAAGATCTCTCACAAATTGGGAATGGATTCACTGGCCGATGTCGGACAGTGCAGTGTGCGTCCGATTTTACGTAGAGCTTACCCATGTATCGAGCTGTGAATTGGCTTGCGCTTGTTGCCGCATCATATTACCTGTGTGCATTACTTCCACAGAAAAGCTGGGCAACCAAGCAAAAAAACGAGAACCTAAAAGAAATAAAAATTAATAATTATTTATTATTATTTTATTATTATTTTCTAGGATTAAAAAAAAAAACAATTCTGCACATAAAGTAAAACAAATAGATGACGTCACTGTGGTACATGCTCTCCAGATTCTCCAAATCACTAGCAATGTCTTTATAAACACTTTTACAAATGAGTGATTTTTTGAGTGAAAAAATGTACGTAGAATTTGCTTTTCAAAAATGCTACGCACTTACCATCGAAATGGAACACATTTCTCTGATTGACAAGATGGGGATCCGCCTGCGCAACTCTTGCAGCAGCTGTGGCTTCTATTCCTGCTGCTCTCCTAGCCTGGTTCTGTGAATTCTCACGATCCGCCTGTTCTGTTCGAACTGGGTTCAGGCTGAGAGATTTCCGACAGGTAGGACATGAGGTATCATGTTCCATCCAGGATCTAAGACAGGAGCTGGGAAAAGATGTTATAATAATTATTGGAATTGACGGGAATCAGTCATATAATGTATCACACTTTAATATAGACAAGGCTACAAGTTGTACCAGAACCAGAACCAATTAATGATGGTCATTTCATCCAGAAATTTAAAATAGATATACCATATTACATACTTATGAAAGAAGTGGTTGCAGGGTAGTTTGCGAGCTGTTGTCATCTGGTCCCAGCAGATGGCGCAGGTATCATCACCATTTTCAAGTTCCTCTTTAGTGGCGTATGAAAACCTGGTGAAACAACAAAAATATTTTATCAATCTTTATTACCTTAGAAAAAAATCTGACATAGTATTTTTTACCGAATTTTTAAAATATTCAGTATTTTTTTCTGGAAAACTTGTTTTGTTCAGCAACATCAGATGAGTGTACAGGAGAAGGATCTTAAAGTTGATATGTTGCCAAATTTGTGAAACACTTTAGTTGAAAATGTAGTTTTATAATATCTGAGGCATGTCATGACAAAAAAATAGTTATCGTACAGGCCAGTATCGATTAAGTGAGCTATAAAATATGGGAGCTGAAAAAAATGGCCTAGAAATTAATTCAGCTGTAATTTATTTGATTCTTTTCAATTCTGTATCTTTTATTAATATTATATGACTAAATACATTGTTTTTAAATTATTTTATATTTCTGTACTGCAATATTTCAGACCTGCTCTGCCTTTTGTGTAACCTTTATATCAGAATAAAATATAAATAAAGAAAGATATATTTAACCTTGTCTCCAGACTATTGACAACCCTCCTGTAGTTCTTGTGTTTTCGCAATTTACGCTGAATCTCAGTATACAGAAACCTCAACTGCATACAAATCACCAGACTTGCCATACTCAGAAAAATATTGCCCCATAGCTTAAAAAAAAATTAACTAATTATGATATGCATCCTAAAAACAATTAAGAGGATATTAGATTAATTAGCAACAACCAATTATCTCTGTCTTAGAAATTAGACTGAATTTCCTTTCACAGAAAAGAAATTTAAGATGTGTTAAATCAGAATACATAAGAAAATATTTTATTTTATTTTTTTATTACAGCATGAAATACATAAACATCCCATTACTACACTATTTACATTCATCAATAAAATTTTATTTTTATTTTCTCCTCCATTTGTATGTTTCTGTTAAAACTATTTCCTAAATAAGAAAACAAAATTTTATTTTTATTTTTTTCCGCTGTCCTCTAATGATCTTAAAAAAAAAAATAAGTTCAGGAAACAAAGTATAAAAAAAAATTTTACCTTATAATTTAATATATTATAACTATTAAAGGATATGCCAGTGGTCGAATGAAGTACTTACTTTGCCTGCAATGAACAACCACAGTAGGCCACAAATAAAGTTTAATAATAAATATTTAATAGAAAAAGTTTAACAATCTTACCAACATGTGGAGATGGTGAAAGAAATCAACAGTTAGAACTGTGGTGTCCAAAATGAGGTCAGTGTAGTAAATAAATGAGCCTCTCTCTTCCCACAATCCATCATGATGTAAATCATACAGATGAATACTATACCTGAAATCAAAAATCATACCAAACATTATCAAATCACATCAAACATTATCAAAATCACATCAAACATTATCAAAATACATCAAACATTATCAAATCACATTAAACATTATTAAATAATATTAAACATTACTAAATCACATCAAACAATATCAAATTACATCAAACATTATCGAATCACATTAAACATTAACAAAATCCCATCAAACATTATCAAAATCACATCAAACTTTATTAAAATCACATCAAACATCAAAATCAGATAAAGCATTATCAAAATCACAACAAACTTTATTAACATCACATCAAACATTATTAAATCACATTAAACATTATCAAATCACTTACATCAAACATTATTAAATCACATCAAACATTATTAAATCACATTAAACATTATCACATCATATCAAACATTATCAAATCACATCAATCACTATCAAATCACATTAAACCTTATCAAATCCACATCAAACATTATCAAATCACATCAAACATTATCAAATCCCAACAAATATTATCAAAATCACATCAAACATTATCAAATTACAGCAAACTGATTATCACCACAATCTTTTGATTTTTTTGGTATATTCCCCACCCCCTCCACTAGTTACTTCGTAGAACAGCACAGATAACTACTTTAAAGCTCTGTCCAGATGATCACATTTTCTTTGACAAAAAAAAATTATTGTATCCTTTATGCAATCATGATGTGCCTATATATGGTCACAATGTGATGTCATCATGACCATATTTAGTTTTTATCAAATAAAAGTTGATAGTCTGGACAGGAATTTACTACTGTCACATTACATTACATCATTATCGTGTATTACCTCCATTCAATATATTTATTAGTTAATTAACTGCCAGCGAAGGGCTACCTAACCACAATAAGCTCATCTCATATTTTCAAGCGTGCATGCCTATGTCAAATGTTACGATAAACAAATTATCACATACATGCTACCATTTGCATGTTGTTATTTTTTAAAATTCAAGTACAGTATAATTTATGTGATAGGAAGATCATAGAAAGAATATGGATCATAATAAATACAAATCAGGATGATGAAGGCCTTTATATCACAAAATGACGACAACATAAATTAAAATCTCAGAAGGGGGTGGGGCTTCTTCTGATATTGATTGCGCTGTCATCAATTATCAGCTGACTTAAATGGAAGATCTAATACTAATCTATCTGATTAGCAACCATGGGAACTGATGGTTTCAAGATGTTTATAAAGCAACAACATTCAGTTGTTTTGGCTTAAATTCTAAGAAACTGATTTAAATATTAAATATGTGATTCTAATCTCACAAAAATTTCCGTTCACTTATATAAATACTTACTTGACAATGACAAATATGGCACGCACAATCAGAATAATGCACTGAAAAGCAAAACAGAAATTACTGTCACGTTATTCTATTTAAATTTCTAGACAAAAGATCAATGGGATGTACATTTATAAAACAAATGTTTTTCTTTGGTACAATATACAATCGAAAATTAAAGTAGATTGACGTAGCAAACAAGTTGTTTGTCAAGGGTTTTTTCTAATGTAGCAATTTACATAATGCATACTGAACATCAAAGCCGTTTTTCACAGTTTTGGTACAGTACTGCAATATTTAAACCTCATTAACTGCTCCATATGGATTTGAGGAAAATAATGAACCCAATAATATACATTAACATTCTATAGCCGATTAAAAATAGAATATGATATATAAACACAACTAATTATAATATTTTGTTACACTGTTGAGGGATTATGAGCCCATCTTAATACAGTCACACAGAGATCATGTGTTTGTGCTAAATCTCCATCCAACCAGTAACAATAGATATCATACATTATTTACTAAAAAATTGATTAAATAAACAGGCTTCTGCTTGATAACTACCATAAATATTTCTCAAATAAAAATATATTAAAAATATATTGAAAAATGGTATATTAAAATATTTAACTAGGTACTGGTTTTTTAGCTTATATGTCATGTATTCATAAATTATATTAAAGTATTTGTATGTGTTTTGTAATGTTAAAATTGTTTTTCATGTTTTTTTAGTAACTTAAAGTACTTAATCTAACTTGAATACTATTGTGTTCATGGCTATTGCAATAAATACTAAATTCATAATAGTGAAAGTCTGTTGTACATATCACAGAAAATCACTGGATTTATAGCACAGGATGGTTGCATTTAACCAATCATTCAATGCATATACCATACCTTTATGCTTATACAGTATCTTGAAAATGATGCTTTAATAAACAATAAAAATTACCTCTGCCAACATAAAAAAGAAAGTGTTGATATCAGCTGGATATCCAACGTAGAAGCAGATACCAACAAGGACAAAGCCAGAAATCAGAATGGACACCAGTAATCCCATCACCTTACCATGCATCCAATTTGAAGTGGTAGGAGAGGATGAGAGCTGCAAGTCAAACAATATCAAAAACATCATTCTACAATAATTAACGCTAATAACATTCCTGTCCTTTAAAATAAAATTCTGTTCAATTTTCAGTTCAAAGTTTACTTCAATAAGCTATATCCAGGGGCAGATTCGAGAAGAGCCCAGACAGCCCAGGCCTCCCTATCTGTTTGAATATTTTTTTAAATGGGAAAAAAATGAAAGAAAATTACATTCAAACTTTAGTCTCCAGTTGTTGGTGATTGGTAGCAGTATTTGTCTACTACATACCATAAAGATCAAGACAGAAATTTATAAAAATGGGAATATCAAATACTGTACTGTAAGAAAGCTGTAAGAATGTTTGTTTAATGTGAGCTGACCTTATGACCTATGAGTTCATTTTTTAAAATAGTTTTTCTGTTTTTAATTAGTGTTTGTGTTCTTCCTTCTTAATACTTCTATATAATTTTGAGGCAAAGACACAGCAAGCATATCTCTGTGTATAGACATGTACACTATAAAAAACAGATTGATTGATTGATTGATTATTCATTGCTCATTACACTTCTGTGTTACAGCAGTGTTCTAGTACTACAATTTGTGGCCTATAAATCAAAGTCATATTACCATATTTGGAGTTCTTGACCTTGAATTTATAGCTATATAGCTACCAAGCTAAAACTCAGCTATTCAACTGTATTGCATTATTATTACAGTATTAAATTAACTGACATCGTTGAATTCTGCAATATTTTACTAGAGATAATATATTGTGTTACTACTAGTAGTATCATTATTTTTGTTTTCATTGACTATTGTACTGTATACTATTAATGTCATTATCAATATTTTTATTAAGATTAATTAATTCCTATTTAAAAAAAATAAATTATTATCATAATATTATTATTGTACATTATTTGCTTTAAAAACAGTAGATTCAAACTTTCAGATGAACAAAAGTATTACAAACAAGTAGAAACTTGCCATGTTAGGATTGTCAAACAGTTTAAAAAATCTAAATCTAAAAAAAAAATATAAATGCTACAGAAATTATATAGCACTTTTTGCCAAAGGATACAAAGCGCTTGGATATGTGGACTAGGAACTCGATCAATGACTTTCTTCTCCCCTAAAGTCGGTTTTCCACCAGACGAATTTATTCGTGCGAATCGAAAGTGTCGTTCATGCGCTTGCACATTTAAATTTCTGTCAGAGTTTTCGCTTCAGCGAAATTGGTAGTTCGAAGTGTTTTTACTTTTTGCGAAGCGAAAAATGTCCGCAACCAATCAGAGCTCAGGAACCGAACCGATTTTATTGTTATGTTGCTTTGGGAATAAGGAACTTAACTTTATTACAGTGACTTATTCACTTTTAGGTTCTTGCCTACTGCCCAAGTTCACTGTCATTGTGTTTGTTGACATTTATGATTTTGGCAATAAAGTATAAGAATAAGAGACAATAGAAAAAACTAAGATACAAGAATGTTATTGCTGGAGAGGATGGGACAATAACCAATGATGAATAGCTATTCCTGCAACTTACATATTCTGATCTGTCTTTGCAGAGAATAACAAAGAGATGTAGAAATGCTAGTACTGAGAACCAGGCTGACCACAGCACCATCTCTTCCAACATCTGAGCATTCAGAACCCCAAAGATGAAGATGAACTTATAAAACACAAAGTTGCCAAATTTCTCTTTGAGACGCTGTAAAACAAAATTTGAAAAATGTGAGTATAACTTGATTATGAATGTTTGATATAAGCAAACATAATGGTAAAAGAAATATCTAACAATGTTAATCAAATGTCGCTCTAAATGCAAATTTAGCATACAGTACTACTGCATATATACAGTCAGTGCAGACTGGTGGTTGACTTTCAGCAAGTCTAGTAATGGAATGCCATTGGTGTCAAAATAGATATATTTTTAATACATTTTACTGATTAAGACAAAATTAGGGACTGGAACCCAGTCTAGTGGTTAATATCCTTTCAAGTGACAGTCTTATAACAAGGCTTTTAGTTAAATGCAGAGTGCCATGTTTAATGTGCAGTATGCAAGGGAGTGCCACTATTTATTCAAGATTGGTAATCCTTGGCTTGGTAAAACCAAGTTGTAGTAGTGTGCCTTTATGATAAAGATAAATATGTTTTCATTTAACTAAAGAAAGCTTAACAAAAGTATTGTCAATTATACAGTAAACTTCCTCTACCACATATATTTCTAATTTGAAGATCATAATAATATACATAGAACAGTGTATATTGAATAAGCTTTCAAGAATAAAGAAAAATTACTTAAAACAGTGTGTAAATCTACAAAATGCTATTATTAAATGTCCTTATTAAATGTTTTGGCAACAAAAATATACGTAATCATTGCCAACAAACGTTTGAGATAAGGTACTTAGTACAGCAATAAAATACACAGTTGGTATGGGAAAGAAAATAAATTCAAGAAAACAGGAAAAGGACTATAAATCCTGCTGTTAATTATTAAGAATTAAGACTTGAATTTTCATAATGAATTTTTGATAATGTGACCCTACAGGTTAGGAATCACTCATCCGTGACCACTCATACTGTAGATTTGACCCAAACCATGTCCCAGACTTCAAGGGAAAATGGACTAAGTCCCTGCATGTGCAGACAGCTTCATGTAACACCAGTACCTAGATTTTGCCATCATTGTGCAATAAAGCTTGCTATTGTTATTCTATGATCTTGATAGTTAACACTGGATAGAACACAATAGACTATCATACCTCCATGATGAAAGCTGTCCAAAGTCAGACAGGCTAGGCCAGTGGCGTATTTAGAGGGGGGGCGTAAGGGGCATACGCCCACTCTATTTTTTTGTAAAAAAATGTTTTGTAAAGCTCATCAGAAAATTACCATGCTAAATATTAAAAATCGATCAAATATTAACTCAAATTAATGAAGGTGCTAGAGGTTTAAGGGAGAATCTTCCCTTGCACCCCTACCAGGGGCTCTTTCCTGCGACTCTCATTTAGTTCGGACATTCACGCCCCCTCTTTCTTACCGGGCTGGATCCACCCCTGGCCTGCTAGGCAACTTAATTAGTTTCTTTGCAACAAAGTCATGTCAGTACCTAGGCATAGGCGTACAGTATCTTGTTTGTTATCAAGTTCAGCTATCAATTTATATCCATCAGTCTACCAATCTTTCTGTACTTAAATGAGAACCCATAAAACTATATTAGTCACTTATAAGGGAAAGCAATTTTATGGTAAAAATCGTACTTTTAGACCACAATATTAATAGCTGCAAATCACAATAACTTTGGTTAGATTGGCAAATGAATATTTTAAGTCTGATGACCTCTAAGTTGTGTCAGACAAAAGAAAATCCATGCTTTTTAGGTGGGAAAATTGCTCTCTGACCTCCCACTAGATCCACAAGTTCATAGAGCATAAGTCTTTGAATGACACTATTCTCTGCTAAATAAATCTGGATTCCATATTCATTTATAATGTAGTACATGATATGAGTTGTCCAACTGTCGTCATTCATTGTGCATAATTTAGCCGATGCTTTTTAACAAAACAAGGTTGATTTTAAACGTGCAGTAGCACAAGACTATAAATTACAGTAATCATATTTACTGATTATATGATAGACAGTACTGCCAGCCATACCTACTTATATTATACAATTGTTTAGTGTTGTTTAATAATAAATCACTATAGTATGAATATTTTCAATTGGAAAATATTACATGCATCAGTAGGTGTAAACAATCATACCAGTGCATACAAAATCTCCTTTGTTTAAATTCCTCTGCTTTACACATATTTCATATTACACAAAAATATTGACATATTATTATTGTGCTACAGTATTAGAGTAGTGGAGTCCACACAGATCCAGCTAGGCCTCGACCTAGAGTTCATACTCCACAGACCTCAGCACAATGGTTTAATAGACATTGATAACAATTATCTCGATCTGCTGAAATACAGTACAGGGTACATGTATTCTGCTTAAACTATGTGTTTGGATATTAAGATATTAAACACTTTCTGAATTAGGCAGACCATGGAGGAATTAGTTTAGAAGCAATTTATTATGTTCTTTAATACTCAGTTGAAATCTGGATAAACTATCTTTGCATTAATTTTTACCTTGAAAAAAAAACTACTGCTCACTAGTATCCGATCTATTATTTGTATTTTTAAACAAAAATTAGATGGAAGTCGATGGCCAACAAGCTTTGGCAAACTTGGAGTAGCTCACCAGGACAAACAAAAACCTAACTACCCCCTTTTCCCCAGATTCTTAAAGTTTGTTTATGATTGACAACTGACTTAGAATATAAATACTGTAACACCCACCTGTCTTTCACTGACTCGAAGTTTACCTATTATTAGCAGCTGGAGGGCCTTGGCAAAGAGAATCAAGCAACAATAGGCAAAATTGACAAGAGCCTGCAAAGAGACAAGAGGACATCAATAAATTAATAATTAAACATTCCAATCATTATAGTGAAGACGGTGGGAGGGGGGGGGGTTTCAATGGATTGGTGAATACCCTTTTCTAGCGAACTATGATTCAGCTCCTGACAGATATACAGGCTTTGGCTTAAGAAGTCTCTAAGGTAGAGGGTAGCTCCATGAATGCAGAAGGTCTTCTCCAGACCCAGGCTTCTCCCTGGACCTCCCACTCTCATTAACAAAATCCTGGTTATTGGGCTACTTTTTTATCGCCTCCTCCAACCGCCAGTATTATTATAATTCAGGCTTACTGTATGGGACAATGATTACTAAGCAAATATTATGGATGGATGCAGCAATCCTTTATTGCTAGATACATCTGCATCATCTGTATACATAATACTTACCAAAACACAAATAGGCTCTTGCATGATCACTTTAAATATCTTCATCACGTGACTGTCGTTTCCCAACAAGGTATAGTCCATGAAGAGATTGTTATATTCCTCCTGCTCATCATTATCATCTGAACTCCATCTCTTATGTTCTGCATCCTTATTGATTGATCCTTCAGTCCAATTATTTTCAGCAATTGACTTCTCTTTCTTGACATCATTCTTTGATACTAATTCTTCTAAATGAGACACATAGTCGTTTATTTCAGCCTGATGATGCTTAAGCCAAACTTTCTGTTCGATTTCTTCTTTTGCAGTGTATTCCCTGACCCCATCATCTTTTAGTGCCATATGAGATTTAATATCAGCAGCTTCTGAATTTCCTGGCTTACCCTCTTGGTACGAATACTCAGGCGGTCGAAACTCATCTAACCATGGATTTAATGAAGTCCTTGCCTGATCAGCGTCAAATAAAAGAACCTCATTGTGGGCAAACCATAAACAGATGCCCACAAAAAGAAAACTAATACAGGTATAGGTTCTCAATGATGGAATAGGTAACCTTCCAACACGAATTGGCATTGTCAATAAATTTCTTCAAAAAGCTTCTCCAAAATGAACTTTATTAATCTCAGGACTAAAATTTATTTTATGCTTTATACACAGTGTGTCTGCATTTTTACAATAAGGACAAATGGGATGAGTGGTTTCCTGGGCAACCTGCAACGAATAAGAAAAACATGGTCCCATTTACATTTAATTGGCATTTTCAATCTACAGATACAAAACATCTAGACAGAAAAATTTTAAGCATGAATCAGGTGCGATCCATGGACTGCAGTATGAAGCTGAGGCTGAATATCGTATTGTTCTAACTATATTCCATTGGAGAAGATTCGACCTCAGCTACAAGCCCATGGTCCATGAATAAACGATTGCCCTCTACACACATCACGCTGCCATTTTAGAAATTCATTTTTGCCGAATTCCATACATATTTTTAACTCTAGTGTAACAGGATAAGCCATGAAAAATTAATTTTAAAATTTATATATTTTTTTTATCTTTTTCTTTTGTACAGTATTTAATGTTTTATTTTTGTCATACCATTTTTTTGCAAGTTGTCTTTTAAATTTTTTTTTAAATACTGTTTCTTTGTTTTCGAAGACAAATAAAGTTTCTTGTCTCTAGTAAAACCACTCAACAAAAACTTAAAAGTAGCATAGCCTAGGGCCTAGGCTAGTCCGAGTAGGTCAGGGCCCTAGCTAGGCCTAGCCTGGTTGGTACAAATACAGATCATTCCGGTCGCGCCTGCATTTCGGTCACGCCCTATTGTTATGCATTTCGGTCGCTGTTCACAGCCGCGGTATGGAACGCCGATGTACAAGCTACAGCTTATTTACAATGTTTTTCGAAAGTAAATTCGATAGTGTTCTAAATAAATTTTAGGTAGGACCTAAATTAATGATAATTTTTAACAGGTATAAAAAAGTCAATCTTAAACATAAACCACATTTTAACATATTTTGTACATATGTTTTTATTATTTATACTTTAGACGGTATATTTGAAATACTTTTTTTTCCCTTTATTTTCCTCTAGTCTCCAGACATCTCCTGTCATAAATATTACGTTATAATACTGTTAACTCTTTCCCATTTACATAGATCATCAATTAAAAGGCTGTTTCTGTAAAAAGAAAATGTACACTGTAATACCAATTGATGCTGAAATAAACTGTATTACAATTAGTCAAAAAGTAGTAAAATAAAAATGACTGTTTCCGTGTTTAACAAACGGCAGGCAGGCCTAGGCTGCTTTGGATATCTTATTATACATTCGCGGTCGCGCCTTTCGGTGCTCCATACACCGCAACCGAAATGCATAACCAAAATAGCGCAACCGAAATGCAGGCGCAACCGAAATGATCGGATAAAGTTGGTACTAGGTCCAGGACTTCCAAGCAAGCTTCCTACTACTACTGGTAATAATAAACAAGCTAGTACCAGGCCTAGCTAGGCCTGGCCTACTACTATTTAATCCACTATAATCAGTTCTCGGCTACTTTAGCCAACTAGGCCTAGACCTTATCATAAATAGAAACCCAGAAATAGGCCAGCGCTAGATTAGGCCTACTACTACTAGGAGGAGGCCTAGGACTAGACCATACCGTAGCACTAAAGAAGACAGATGCCTGTCAATATGGCTTGTTGTCCTTGGCCTACACATGAATTACCTCGAATTCCAATCAAAAAGATATAATTAAGCCTAACGACTAAAACACTTCACTGAACACTGACTTTCACATATGCAGTACTCTACTATTACCTGGGTATGACTCTAAAACATGTATTTGTATTATGATCATTATTTTCTCACCTAAAAAGGGAGGAATCTTCCAGACGAAAAACACAATCAAGTACACGTACGTACGTACTTTTGCTTTCAACAAGTCTACCTCGGCCTTCTGTGGGCTGTTTTTTTCGTTGTGGTATAGCGCCACTTGTAGTTCAGGCTCCAATGTTCTGGTTCCCGAGTAAAAGTGGCGGTATATGAGATGGGGTTAAGTAGTAGGGGGAGGATCCAGTGATATCCAAAAGGGGCAAGGGGGGGTCGCCTATGTCCCCGAAAGGAGGCCTATCGAGAGACAACACTAGGGTAGCAAATTTTTGTTTTCTAGACGCCCGGGCCAGATAACCTTCCTGAGGCGTTCTGGGCGATCAATATTTTTTTTCTTCTTTCTTTTATTTTTTTTTTTCAACTTTCTGAAAGGTGGGGGGAAGGGCTCAGCCCCTCTAAATCCGCCCCTGGTATGAGTCGGACTAACCAGGAGTTGTTAATTATTATTCTAATTAACTCCCTGGAGTATCTATCATTACTAATCAGCCATTTCTAGGGTTAGTAAATGGTCAAAATTCACGTTAAGATAAATTAATGATACTTGTAAAGTTTAATTTTAAACATTATTTATGTTGGTCATTTGCTACTTAATTAACTTAGTTTTAAAGGGTGAACCGTTCTGCAAGGCGGATAATTGAAAACAGGACACCATTACACATACAACAACATAATTAAACACTAAGATATAGAAATATTAATCAAAAGAAATGATACCAATCAATAAAATGTTCTGCTCATCTTTATGCCCATACTACTAGACCGTACCGACGCGCCAGAGATGCCTGTGATTTATATTTTTTATGTAGGCCTGTGACATGTTTAATGTTTTGCTCGACTAGACCTACTAGGATAGAATCTGCGAATTATAGGCCTTTCTCAAACTAATCAACCCAGCGGAATGACACTTACTTTTGGAAAAAATGCAGGTCAAATCATTGTTTAGGGAAGGAAAACATCAAAGGTGATATGTTTCCAAAATAGAAACATATCAAAGGTGATATGTTTCTATTTTGGAGCTTTACAACAGGAACTCTTCGTTCCCACTTACAGGCGAAAATTGTAATAAAAATATATAGAAAATATAATAAATCAGTACAATAAATTCACAAGACAAAAAATAAAATTATTATTATTATTATTATTATTATTATTATTTATATGATTATAATTATTATTGCAGTATTTACAAATAAAATGTATAAATTACAAAAAAGTATTTGAAATTACAATAAAAATTACACTTATAAATTTTAAAAATTTACAAATAACACTAAAAAAAAACAGCACTTACAATGAGAAATATAATTATTAAGGTGACATTTAAACATATCTAAAGAATTGGGAAAAAAATATCAACTTCAGGACATTTGGTAACAAAATCATTATAAAAACAAGATAATCGTGAAATATAACCATTTTTACAGACATTAACACGACAAAACTGAACAGAAAATAAATCACGTTGACGAAGACGACGACCAGGAACTTTAAATGAGAAATAGGAGATTCGGTTACAATCAAACGAATTCACACATTTAAACAGGAACAAAAGATCAAGGTACATACGTTTAGAAGACGGACAAGTAACATTTAACTTTTTATTGACCGAGTCAATGATGGCATCATCAAAATTGATTATATTATTGTTAATACGATTGTTAATACGACGAGGGCCAAATGTTTCAGGACTGATGAAACGCAAGAACCTAAAGTGTATCATGTCGATTCGTTTAGAGTTACTTTTAGATATTGAATTAAAAATGACAGAACAGAAATCTAAAGATGGTCTAACCAGTGTGAGATAAAGAAAACGTTTTGTAGGAATATCAAAAGATCTACAATTGCGCCACATCATTCCCAAGACTCGTAAACATTAACATCGAATCAATAAATATACCAAGATCCTTATGATAATCTACTTTAATGAGTGCATTGCAATTGATTTTATAGTCATATTTCAAAGGATGCTTTTTCAATGTAATTAAGCTCATTCATCATGTGATTACATCAAAAGTGGAAATTAATCATTTACCATTTAGGCCTATTTTTCAGAGAAGCTTTTGGCGTATGGAATAAAAGATAAGAAATATTCACTATTCTGATTGATTGTTAAGTGTCCACCTTTTAATTAAGTGATGGAAACAAAACACCGGAAACATATCAATTAAAGTGTGAAATCACCTCTGATAAAATCCACTTTCCAATACAGAGGTGAATCCCGTCCATTGTAGCGCTACTGTATACTGCACAGTAGGCCTACTTTTATTTCGTCACGTTCGGTCGTGTTTTCGATTGCGATGTTTCCGGTGTCCGCTTCGAAAGTTGAAATAATCCACGGATGATTTAAGTCTTTATTTACAAGGCGCCTCTCTTCAGAGTAGAAAAGAAACTGCTGTGGTGACGCATTATATCCTTTATCACCTTTCTCTATGTACCGGGTAAGTAGTAGGCCTATTCTGTGTTTGTTAATATATGTTGTGTGTTGTGTTCCTAAACTTAAAGGCCTGTAATTAGCTAATCTGGTAAGATATCAGGTCTGGGATGGGAATATCAATATAATATAGGAAAAGTCCTTGATAGGCATACCGCTACTTTACTGTCGTATTACAGTATAAGTATTGTAGGCCTCTTTTTCAACATCAATTTTTATCATGTTAAATGGTAGGCATAACAATGATCCATGCTGGTGGATTTCGTATGTATTTAATAACCCGGGGTGAAAATGGTTGTGTTATTTTCATCTTATCATATAGCCTATACCAGGAAACCCGTATTTTATTATAGGCCTACCAAATAAATAGCGACCTTCATTTGAACTTGAACCTTTGAAGCAAACTACTGAAAAAAAATGTGTTCCGTTTAAAGGTTATTAATTTATGTGAAAGTAACAAGACCATTATTCGTTTCCTGATCATATCTCCAAGCTGCGAGCTACAACAACATCGTCGTCCTGAAGATAAACATTGGAAGCAAACATGGCAACTAAGCAAGCATTCCTCCTTCGACGTGAGCTTCGCTCTTTGATTTATCGTCACAACTCGACTGCAGTTTCAGCAGTAGAAGGGGAGCAGAACGTGAAATCAAGTGTACAAAGTTATGATAAGATCCCTGGTCCCAAAGGCTGGCCTCTCCTTGGAACTTTACCATTTTACCTACTGAACGGAGGCCTTGGAAATATTTTTATGAATCAGGTGAGCATTAGCTTCGATCTCTAAAAGGCCGATAAACTTGATTGAGGTGGCGATTCGTGATCTGGTATCTTCTAAATGGTCTCTTTTAAAATAAAATGATAAAATGATCTTAACAATTAAAATTCAATGAAACAGAGATCGAAAGTGGCTTCTGCAGGTTACGAAAATCGTAACTGATTATACGAGCCAATTTAATAATAATGTTATGTAAGACATAAATAATAGACACGTTTACATTCCATGATTTGTCACATAAGTAATAATAAGGTATTTGTGGATTTGTGTGAAAACTCCAAATGTGATTACAGCTATGCCTTTAATAATATTCCATGGCCGATGTTCGTAACATTTCCTTTTTCACGTTTGTTATACAGTATGTATTTTCATGTCGAAGGGTTGAAAAAAATTGTGCAGTAGGCGTACGTTACCGTACCATAGCCGCCATTGATAATGAGTTAATTATTTGAAATTCAAGAAGGTCGTTTTCGTTTTCGATTCACATTTTTCTGCTATCCATCATCAGGGCTCAGCGGTCATATTGGGTCAAAGTGTCAATCATACAGTGGTGACGTCATCACCATCATTTTACTGCACCACATTACTAAGTAATACATATGTTAATTAATACAAAAAATTACAATAATCAGGCCAATCTGATATTGCTGTTGTTCAATTTGATTTTTTTAATAATTAAAACAACGCTAATGCTCACTAATTAGGCCTACTTTTAGCGCTATAGGTATTTACAGTCAAATAAATTCAGAGAAACACAGTATAACAGACTTCCAATGTTACTGTTATGTTGCAGAAACAGTAGGCCTATAACATACTTCCAACGTTATTGTTATGTTACAGATAGCATTTAGCAGGAAATATGGTCCCATCTGGAAGGAATCTATGGGGACTTTACGTATCGTTAATCTATCTGATCCGGTATTGATTGAAGAGATGTACAGGAACGATAACAAGTATCCCACACGAATTGACATGAAACCATGGAAAGAATACAGAGACTTCAAAAATAAAGAAAACGCTCTCATTACATTGTAAGTTCGTGCAAAAAAACAAAAGACATATTCTACCACAAAATGAATCATTTCGTAAAATATAACTAGGTTAACTGCTGTGCGCCTAATGAGGTCTACACCTAATCATCACGTAATATAGTACTGTACTAAGGAATAGATTATGGACCTGTCGTTTCTGTTAATAACATTCAGAAACCATCGGAAAAAGTGTGTTTCCAAGTATTCGCGGATTTAAAGGGGCCGGTATAATAATATATTTATAATTATTGGAATTTCTTTTCAGGGAAGGCAAAAATTGGCATCGGATCCGTCGCGTCATCAGCAAACTTTTGCTGCCACCTTTACAAGTACATTCGTATCAAGACACTGTCAATGATGTCATCACAGACATGGTATCAAGACTTCGATTCATTCGAGATAAGACTAATCAAAATAGCCGCATCCCAGATATTACAAATGAACTTTACAAATGGTCGATGGAAAGTGAGTTCGATTTGGTCATCATACGATAATTTTTTTTTATATGGACAAAATAAATAAATTACCATTGTGACCGTACATTCTTTCAGTATTGTACGTAAAATTCAGATATTACAAATGAATTTTACAAATGGTCGATGGAAAGTGAGTTCGATTTCGTCTTCATACAATACGGTAATTTCTTTTAATTACGGTACGAAAATAAATCAATTAACAATTTGACCATAAATACTTTCAGTATTATATTGTATGTGAAGTTGCCTTATTATTTTATCTGCAAAATCGGAACACTAATGATATGTAAACAATGTTTTAATATGTTTTTTCTTTAAACTTTAGCTGTTTTTATGCTGCTTTTTGAGACCCGAATGGGTTGCTTAGAAGATGAGATAGCCGATGGTTCTCAAAAGTTCATCAGTTCGATTCACAAAATGTTCGACTCGGGACAGATAATGTTCATTGCGTCACCGAAATTATTCCGACGGTATAATCTCAAACCTTGGAGGGATCACGTGGAGGCCTGGGATTATATATTTAAATTTGGTGAGACAAAACTATATAAATATTTTATAGAATATATATATATATTATGGAGTCGTGTGTGATATTTAAGGAGGTGCATTTTCCAATACAGTAATAGTAATATTTCAGCTGTTGTTTCATAGATAACAATGCGTTAAGTTGCATTCTCATGGCCTACCGAACCATTCAGAAAATAAATCGAATGTGTTTTAGGGACGCTGGCGTTCAGCGCATCGGAAACGGGGGTTCAGATCCGATGTGAATACAGCTTTGATCGTCAAAAAGAAAAGAAAAGATCGCCATTCACGGTAGACGTTGGAAGCATAAATAGGTGATCGCTCGATGATATTCTTCCTAAGTGGATGCCAGAGCGAATATCACCTAGTGGATTATTTTTATGAACTAACGTTTGCCCAAGGCATAAGCCAAAGGAGACACGATTGAAATAATTTTGTCATATTATTTTCTCTCTACATGCTATACCATTCTTTAAAATAATTTTTATGTCTGAGTGTACAGGCCTATTTTTATTCTTTTTTATCGGCCTAATACGATAATGGCGTTGAGTTGGAGGAAGAAAGAAAGAAAATGTTTGTGATGGCGGTGGTGGTGGCGATGATGATGATAATGGTGACGGTGATAGATGATGGTGATGCTATAAACGATGGTGGAGGTGGTGATAATGATGATCATGATCATGATGTTGATGATCATGATCATGATGATGGTGGTGGTGGTGACTATGACGATGACGCCGATGACAATGGTGACGACGACGATAGTGGTCCAACCTTGTGATGATAACACTGTTGACGACGACGATGTTGGCGGTTGTGATTGCGACGATGATTATGATTGTGATATGATGGTGGTGACATAATAATAATGATAATCGCATTGTCGATTCAGCACAGGACGCAATGGATAAAAGGATAGCATATCTCAATACACTACCGGAGGAGGATATTGCAAAGTCCAATGGATTGTTGACACGGATACTTGCAAGTCAGAAGATGACCAATGAAGAGATCTCCGCCAATATGTGTGAAATTTTACTTGCTGGCGTAGATACGGTAGGCACAATTACAGAATATTATTACGAGTGTCAATTATTATATTAAACATTTGGTACCTAGTTAAAGACCTAAGAATAGGTTTTCTCCAATAAAGTGTTTCTAAAGTCTATACATGGTATTCGTTTCGTGTATTCATTTATAAACAAATTTATTATGTATAAATATATATTTCAGAATTGTACGTACAATACTGAAAGAAAGTACGGTCACAATGGTA